TGGACCATTTGAGTCCACATCTAGTTCTAGTCCACCTCCTAGAGGAACTAGACTTTTGAATGAAGTGTAAGAAAGATGCTATATGGCTATAACTGAGCTAAATAACTATGAAGAAGCTGCTAAGCATCATAAATGGGTTGAAGCCATGGAAGAAAAAATGAGGATGATTCAGAAAAATGAGACCTGGATGTTGGTACCAAGACCAACTGATAAAAAGTTAATGAGTGAAGTGGATTTACAAAGCCAAAGTAAATTAAAATGGCTCAATCTACAAGTATAAAGTCAGATTTGTAGCTAAAGGATTTGCTCAAGAAAGTGGAGTGGATTACTTCGAAACCTTTACTCCAATTGCAAGACATAATACAATGAGATTGCTGGTTGCATTGGTAGCTTAGAAGAAGTGGAAAATACATCAGCTAGATATAAAATCAGCTTTCCTCAATGGTGAGCTCGAAGAAGATGTTTCTGTAGAACAACCTAATGGATTTATCTTATGGTCAGTTCCTGATCATGCGTGCAAGTTAAGGAAAGCTTTGTATGGATTGAAGCAAGCCCCAAGAACTTGGTACAGCAGAATTGATAGTTACTTGTGTGAAAATGGATTCCAAAAAAGCGAAAGTGAGCACACACTTTATATAAAATCAGATCTTCATTCAAATGTTTTGATCATCTCATTGTATGTGGATGATTTATTGATCACTAGAAACAATGTGGGGCTGATTTATTCATTCACAACTGAACTTGAGAAAGAGTTTGAGATGACAAACTTGGGTGAAATGAAGTATTTTCTTGGAATAGAGATAGAATAGAGATCTGATGGAATTTTTATTTCACAACACAAGTATGCAGCTGATATTTTGAAGAGCTTTAAAATGATCGATTGCAAACCAACTAAAACACCTATAGTAGTGAACACAAAGCTATCAAAGGTTGATGGTGATCAGCCAGCAAATGAGAAGAATTATAGAAGCCTTGTGGTAAGCTTATTGTATCTAACTTCAACAAGATCTGATCTAATGTTTGATGCAAGTCTGTTGTCCAGATTCATGTCCAATCCATCACAAACTCATCTCTCTACTACCAAAAGAGTCCTCAGATATATCAGAGGAACTCTAAATCATGAAATTTATTATGAAGGAGGAGCTAGATCAGATTTAAAAGGCTACTCAGAAAGTGATTGGGCCAGTTCAATTGATGATATGAAGAGCACATCTGGGTATTTGTTTACTTTAGGATCTGGTAAATTCAGTTAGAACTCAAAGAAGCAAGATATTGTGGCTCATTCTACAGCAGAAGTTGAGTATGTGGCTGCATCATTAGCTACAAATCAGGCGGTTTGGCTGAGGAAAATTTTGAATGATTTACATCAAGTTCAAGCAAATCCTACCTCAATTTTAGTGGACAATCAATCTGCTATTGCCTTGGCCAAAAATTCAGTTAATCATGGAAGAACAAAGCATATTAAAGTCAAGTTTCATGCAATCAGGCAAGCTCACTTGCAATATTGTCCTTCACAAGTCCAGTTAGCAACCTGTTTACCAAGCCACTTGCAAAAGATCATTTTGTGGAACCGATGCATCAAATTGGAGTCTTAAATAAAAGCTTCAAGGAGGAGATTGTAGGATAATGTGAAGACTTTTATTTAAACCCTAGTTAGGCTAATAGTTTTTGTTAACAAGCCAAGTTTATTCCAGCTATAATCTTGCCACAGTGGCTGATGTCATTTAGCATTTTAATATTTTGATGAAATTTTTTTTTTGTATTATGATATATAGCCTTTGTTTGGCTTAATGAAAATAGATCAATCAAGTTCTTCTCCTTCTTTGAGTTAACAAATTTGATGATGTGGTATGTGTCCTAATCTTATTTGCATCCTTACCTACTAGTTGAAAGGCCGAGACCTATGTAAATCTGAAATTCAATTATGTTCGTGATATTATTCTTGCTAAGCAAGTCTATAAAGGAGATTTTGAATAAATCTTAATACCAAATTCAATCCTAAATATCAAGAATAGGGTAGGGTTTTGAGAATATTTCAATAAATGCAATGGTGGGAAGTTGAGGAATGGTAGAAGCAAGTCCATATTTAGAAAGAACGTAAAATGCTGAAATTGTGAAAAGATTGGCCACGTAAAGAAATATTGAGGATCACTTAAAAATAATGAAGAAAAGAATAATGATGTAGCAAACATGATAATTGAAAAGGTACAAGATGTGTTACTCTTGTCGGTTGACAATCTTATTGATTCTCAAATGATGGATTTAGGAGCTTCTTTTACAATACTGCACACCGTGAAAGTCTAAGAAATATATCACTGAGAATTGTGAAAAGGTATATCTATTGTTACTAGTGATGTCGGCTTGAGGATCTTAAAAGGGACTATGTGAAAAATTCATAAGGTGAAGTATGTAGCTAAACTTATGCTAATCTGATCTTAGTTGGGTAACTTGATAATGAAGGTCATAATGTGACTTTAGATGCTAGTGATAAATGCACCCATGGTTTCTCGATGAAGTAAATCTGAAACTCTTTACATCACTTCCAATTGTAAAGACATGATTACCGTTGGTAATTCAGTTGTTAATTCTTATTTGTGGTACTGTAGGTAGGGACAAATGTGTGAGAATGGAATGAAAGTAGATTCAAAAGATTTCGCACTTACTTGCAAGGAAAGCTATCGAGGTTGAAATTTACACAACCTATGATAAGGTTGTATTTTTCGGAAGCAAAAACGGGGTTAATTTCGTAAAATTGGAAGGGAGCTAAAATCTAAAAAGTTGAGTTATTTTATACAAATGTATTGTACCTTCAACTATTACTTCCCTTGGAGGTTCTAATTATTATGTAACACTGATTGATGACACAATTAGTAAGGCATGAATTTATTTTCTTAAAATCAAATTTGATGTCTTTGGTGTTTATAAGAGATGGAAAACAATGGTTGAAAATGAGAAAGATTTGAAGGTGAAGTATTTGTAGTCAGATAACGAAGGAGAATATATATAAATTATGATTTTAAGAAGTACTATACCGACAATGGAATCAAGATATAGTTCATTTTTGGAACACCTAAACAAAATGGTGTCTGAGATGATGAATAGGAATTTAAATGAACGTGCTATAAGTATGAGAGTACATGATGGGTCACTAAAGATGTTCTGGATTGAGGCTGTTAGACTTGTAACTTATATGATCAAAAGAGATTCTTCAACACCATTGGATTGCTGAATATCAACAGAGGTTTAGAGTGGCAAAGAAGTAAAACTTTCACACTTTGAAAGTTTTTTATTGCATTTTTTATACTCATATTGCATTTGCTATGAAAAGCAAACTCGATGCTAAATCAAAAGGTGTTTCTTTATTAGATATAGTGATACCGAGATCAATTATAATTTTTAGGATTATCAAACTGAAAAGGTTATTACGAGCAAAAGATGTGATCTTCAATGATAGCATCTTTTATAAGAACACGTTCAGAACAGATCCCAAAGGCACAAATCCTGAAGTTAAAAATTCTAACGTGTTCCCGTCGAAAGATCTTCCAATGATTAACTTAGATAATGCTAATAGTGAAGATCGAGAAAATATAGTCCAAAAATACATCAGAACACCTGTGACTCAACTAAGAATATCTAACTAAAGTATTAGACCTCAACATACTCTCCAATGTTGCATTATATTATAATTATTGATAGAGGTAAATTAGAAATAATGAAACTATGTAGGTTGATGAATCAATCGAGTGGTAGTTAGCCAATGGAGATGAGATTTGCTCATTATTTTTCAATCAGACATGGCAATTGACTGAATTATCAAAAGAAAATATGGTTTTGCAAAATAAATTAGCTTACAAGTTAAAGGAAGAACATTATGATAACAAGCAGTATAAAGCAAAGTTGGTTGTAAAGGAATTTTAACATAAAGAAGGCATCGACTACAAGATTCCTCTTATGTGTGAAATCAACTACAATTAGAGCAGTACTTGGACTAGTGGTATAGAGAAACTTGCATCTAAAGTAGTTGGATGTAATGATTTTTCACGGTTATTTAAAGGAAGAAATTTAGATGTTGCAGTCACAAAGGTAAATTTTGAAACTTGCATCTAAAGTAGTTTGATAAACGTTGCTAAAGGTAAGACTTTTCATAACGTTCACCAAACGTTGCTAAAAGATGTTTATCAAAATTTGCAAATAATATTCTAGCCCATTTAAATGAATCCATCACATTCCAACCCAACAGCCCACAAAAGAAAAATTGAAAAAAAGAAAAGAAAAACAAAAGGAAAGAAATCAAGCCCTAACCACTCGCCCCAAATCGCTCTCCCTCCCCTCAAATCACTCTGTCTCCTCTCAAATCTAGTTGGTGAGAGTGGAGATGAGAAATAAGTACGAACTTGGACCACCGGAGCTGTATAGAGAAGCAAACAAGGAGGATCCGAAAGAGGTTCTCGAAGGCGTTGCTGTTGCTGGCCTAGTCGGAGTCTTACGTCAACTCGATGACCTTACTGAGTATGTCTATAACATATTTATCTTCTTATGACTCAATTTATGATTAAATTTTTGTATTTAAGTGCTTTTTCTTCTCTATTTGAAGAAGAATGGAGGTTGGTATGTTGGTGGGAAAAATCATTGTTTGGCCGAGAATTCTCATTCCAACATCCTTATTTTTACTTTTAAAGTATTTATAGCTTTGTATTTGAGTATTGCATGGCTTTGGACTAATTCGTCCAGAGATGATACTTCAACTGATGTAGAGTTAACATGGCTATTGGATCAGCAATGTGAGAATGGAAGGAATTTTCATGAGAGTAGATGAAAGAAAGCTCGCAAAAAATTTGAGGAGAAGAGGCAAGCTAGATTAGAGAAGGAGCTACTGGAGGAGGATTAAAGAAAGCAGAGAGAAGAAGTGGCAAGGTTGGTTGAAGAACGTAGGAGATTATAGGATGAGAAGTTGGACAAAAGAGAATGTGGAAAAGAGTCCCCTTCTGATATGGATAGAAATGGTAAAAAAGAAGCTGAAAAAAAAGCATCAGGAGAGAAAGAAAGAAAGAGATAGGGGATCAAGCAAAAACAACTCTGATGCCGAGGAATCAGAGAAGAGATTCAGCAAGGATAGTGCACGAAATAAGAAAATAATTGGTAACAAATACGAACAACACAGAACTGTATCTGAAAATGTGAAATCTCATAGTGTAAAAGTGGGTCATGGATTTAAAAGTGCTACCATGAGGATCCATAATCGAGGACCTGCTGGAACAAAATATCTGGATCGTATGAAGGCCACCTTTTTATCTTCTTCTAGAGCATTTAGTGGAAGTGGTTTTTTTGGAAGAAGTGCTAATATTTTTACTGTTCCAAGAGAACACAGACCTAATGCATCTGTAGATAATGTTCAAGGTTCTACATATAGGAGAAATGTATTACAGCCAGAATCGGTATCAAGGAGATCAAATGTAAATGGAGATGATAAAAATATCTATCGACTTGTAAGTTATCTATTGTCTTTAATTGATCTTCTTTGCTTATCTTTATTGTGGATTGGGTTGGCTGTTAACTGTGTTTATTAGTTAACTGAAGATAACCGATAGGTAAGGAAGCCAGTTTTCCATACTGGCCATTATGGATATTGTAACCTGATGTTGGTAATGTACTTAATGTTACTTTTTATCATTGTGGCTAATGTGATGTCGTTTCTGGTGATGGATATCTTGGCATGTGTCTCAATCTTATTTTGTCATGGTTTGTTTTTTCTTGGGTATTGTGTAACCAAAACCTTTTTAAATATAAATGAGATGATAAAAATGTCTATCGACTTGTAAGTTATCTATTGTCTTTAATTTATCTTGTTTGCTTATCTTCATTGTGGATTGGGTTGGCTGTTAACTGTGTTTATTAGTTAACTGAAGATAGCCAATAGGTAAGGAAGCCAGTTTTCCATACTTGGCCATTATGGATATTGTAACATGATGTTGTTAATGCACTTAATGTTAGTTTTTATAATTGTGGCCAATGTGATGTCCTTTCTGGTGATGGATATCTTGGCGTGTGTCTCTATCTTATTTTGTCATGGTTTGTTTTTTTCTAGGGTATTATGTACCTAAAACCTTTTTAAATGTTTTTACTTGATCTTATATAATTTGGGCTAGCTAATCACATTCTAATGTTCAAGTGTATGGATTTAAAAATTTGTAACAAAATTATCAATTTTTATGCAATTTCAAAATCTGTTCACAAGGTGCATTTTCAATTTTGCCAATCTATTTGCATAAATTGTTGTTATAAACGTTGTTGTATCTCTCTACTCTACAACGACACCTCAATTTGTAACACACATCCAAACGTTGCCATAGGACTACTGTCACGCATTTTATATAACGTGAATCATATGGCAAGTGTACCGTGTCAAGTGTTGTAATATATTGGTGAAGTGAAGATTGTGGAACCCACAGAGACTGATGTATGTTTCTGTTGAATACTATAATTGTGTAGTTTCTACTTTATGTGGACAAGCAATTGGGATGGTGATGTGGTTTTAACTAGTAATTGTAACTTA